CTCCTCTTTGTTACCGGGAGAAGCTGGCTGTTGCTCAATCAGCCCAAGGCTCTGGTGAGGGAAATGTAATCAGCGTTATCAAAAGGGTTGTTTTTGAAAAGCTGGCACTCGGCTTGGCCGCCAGCCTCATCTCTGAGCAGCAGCTGGGCTACAGGTACCTGTCTGGCCTTTGCCACCTTCCAGGTGATGCCTGGCCCAGAAATATGCCTGCTCACGCATTCAACGGTGTGATGGGGAGGTGGGGCTCTCATGCTGGGGGTGATCAAATGCTGCAATCTTCCAGGGAGAGGAGAAATGTGTTAGGTGAGTCTGGGACCCGACTAGTTTTCAGCATCTTGCATTATTTGGGATATGGGCCAAGTGTTTCTTGAGTTCAGGGATTAACTGATTCTAACTCCTAGTCTGTTGCTAAAACAAAGTTCAGTTACTCAGAACTTTGCAGAGAGCTGCTGTTTCTCTGAGCTTTAAATTCACCTGAGATAGGGTCTGAGGTGACAGATTCTCATGTCCAAAATGTACACAAAATATGGAGATTTTGTAAAACCCTCCTAAATCAGAAAGAAAAGTTGCCACTGTATTGTTCCAAGGCCAAAACCAACACAGCAGATGGTCCTATTTTCATTGCTCTCACTTTGTGACTAAAGGAAAACTTCCACTCTGGCTTCAAATTGAGTTTCAAAACAAGATGCTCATTCACAACAGGCTCCTAGGACAGGGACAGTTCTATACTAAAAGTGAAGTTAGTTGCTCAGTCATGTCTGACTCTTTGTGACCCCATGGACTGTAGCCTGCCAGGCGCCTCTGTCCATGGAATTCTCCTGGCAAGGATACTGGAGTGGGTTGTCATTCCCTTCTCCAAGAGATCTTCCCAACCCAGGGATCGAACCTGGGTCTTCTGCATTGCAGGCAGATTCTTTACCATCTGAGCCACCAGGGAAGTCCAGTTTTACACTAGGTTTGGGCAAAACATCCAACCCAAGGAGAATTGTGCCACCAGCTGTGTCCCGCTGCTCCACAGCACTACCCTGCGCCCCCTGCTTCTTTCTTTCCTCCAATAAGATGGCCCACATCAGCTCCTGCCCCCCTGTAGAGACCTATCCCCCCAGACAACGCCCAGGCCGCTCCTCCACGCATCGCCTGATCTTTAAGCCCAGTAAGATACAATGGCATGAAAAATGGATTTAAGCTATAGTGTCAGTGTGGAAACGATTTCATGCACTTCATGCACAAACCCTCTCAGGCAAAGTGGCATCACCAAGGCCAGGCACTAAATAAAACATCCTGTAAGGTAGCCTTAAGGGTGGAGGGGCATTCCAAAGTGGATGGGCAGGGCCTTCCCACATTCAAACTTTTGAAATTCAAGATTCTAAACTAGGTCTTTGGATACCAGCATACACTTATTCTTTGAAAAGACGCACGAAGCGGAAGCTTCTGATAACCCAGTGTGAGCATGAGAGTTCTGATTCATCATGTTACCATGTCTAATGAAACTGTCCTGCAAAAGCTAAACCAGAAGGGTCAGGGGTGCGGTGGGGGGATGGGGAGGTTAAAGCAGCAGTCACAGATTGGCAACCAACCTCCAATTACTTATTAAATGCCTACTATGTGCAGGGGGCTCTGCTTGGCACAAGATCGGTGAGACATGTTGTTGCCCTCCAGCTATTTAAAATCTGAGGAGTTAGGCCATCCCGTGAGAAGAGAAAACCCAAGGCAGCGTACAGTAGAAGCTGAGCAAGGTGGGCCAGCTGGTCCTTTTTCCCTGGTCTTCATATGACTGGGGACCGAGCTCTCATTTATGCAGTTTCAAGGTCAGATAGAAGTGTGAGACTGAAGATTTTTCCTAATAAATAGGAGATGTGCTCACTGCTCCTAAACACATACACCTTTTAGATAATAATATTCAGAGTCCCTATAAATCACCATGTAAATGAGATCAGGGTTAGGAGACAGAATGTAAGAAATGGGAAAGTATAAAAATGCATCACAGAGTGTGCATATTAAGCCAATAAATGACAGTGCAGCCCACAGGGCATATATCAGTCCTCTGTAAAGAGCAGCCTAGACACATGCCTCAAGGAAGGCCAGGCAACACTGTAGGTAGTGGCAAGGTGAGGAAGTGCTCTTTATATCTGGGGGCTGGGGGCAGAGACCTAGCTGGTGCTGGCATCACCTCAGAGAGAGCAAAGGGATTCATGCACTCTGTTGGGTAGGGTGTAGAGAATGTTTGAAGTTGATCCTATCAGCTAAATATACAAGTAACTGAGCCAGAGAGCAGAGAATGATAATGTGCTGGAATGGACAGAGAGACTCTCTCCATGAATGAGTACAGGCATTGTCTAACATGCTCAAACAACATCTGTGGCAGAAAACACTGACCAGCTTGGTCTGTGAGGTGTCTTGACATGTTTTGTACTTGAGTGACTGGTAATCAGACACACCTGAGTTTCAATCTCGGTTCAATTACAAGTTGTGTATTCTTAGACACAAGTTATTTTACCTCTCAGAGTCTCAGCCATTGTAATGGGGACAACAGAACAACTCCTAGGGAGGTTATCAGGATAAGGGAAGATGGATGATACAAATATTGTAGAACAGTGCCTGGCATGTAGTAAATAATAATCCTTCATTTCTTGCCCTTTCCTCCTTGCTTTCTACCTCATAATGAATGATTATTTATGGGAACTTTGAATCTTTTCTTATTTCTAAAAAGTCAAATGGCAAATCCTAACAACAAACTTTCAGTTTAAAAATGAAGCCTCAGGAGAAGTCAGCTTATGAGCTTCTAAGGTGAAAACTTCCATTTAGTTTTTTTTTTTTTTTTTTTTAGTATTTATTTTTTTGACTGGGTCAGGTCTTAGCTGTGGTACATGGGATCTTTAGCTGCAGCATGTGGGATCTGGGCTTTCTTGGTGGCTCAGACAGTAAAGAATCTTCCTGCAATACAGAAAACCTGGGTCAGGAAGATCCCCTGGAGAAGGGAAAGGCTACCCACTCCAGTATTCTTGCCTGGAGAATTCCATAGACAGAGGAGCCTGGTGGGTTACAGTCCATGGGGTCTCAGAGAGTCGGACACAAGTGAGCAACTAACATGTGCGCGCGCACACACACACACACACACACACACACACGTATGTGGGATGTAGTTCCTTGAGCAGGGATCAAAGTCAGCCTCCCCGCAATCTCCAATGACCACTAGACCGCCAGGCAAGATCCTTCCATCTAGGTTTTCAGAGAAGCTCACCAGCACAGTTTGTTTTAATAAGACCTGCAAGAAGTGACAGCAGACTCAGAACCATGGCATCTGGAGACAGACTTCTTCCCTCCAGCATCTTGCTAAGGAGCAGGGCGCCAGCAGCACTGGCTTGGATGATGAGAGGTATAACATGTCAAACTTGGCAATGAGGTTTGACATGAAAGGAAACTAACTTTAGAGATTCATAATGGGGTCTCAAAAATAAGATAATGGATTTGAAACTATTTTAAAAAGTAATTTGAAAGGCAGTTTTGTGTTCACATTATACCTATTACTTAAAAAAGGAAGTTTTGAATTTGGATTGGGAAAACTGCTATGCTTTCCTCTGGCTCTGCTTTTCCAAGAAATGAGGTATCACCACCCTCTCTTCAGAGCCTGCTGTGAACTATCTAGCCAGGGAGGAAAGTGGGGGTGGGGTGCAGCAAACATTTAGATTGAAAGATAGTTACTATGTTGATTCAGTTCAGTCACTCATCTCAGTCCTGTCAACGGTGTCGGACTCTTTGTGACCCCATGGACTGCAGCATGCCAGGGCTCCCTGTCCTTTAATTAGCATTTCTTAGACCTCCTCCTTTTATTTCCAAGAGGAAAAAGTTCTCTTGAGAACTCCACCATGCTGATTTAAATAATTCTCCTTTAAGGAACTTACTATTCCTTAAATATGTGCCAATATATAGATATAAATGCTTTTTTACATATATCTCTTTAAGAACACAGAGTGAAAAAGCTCTAGACATTTGTAATAGACAATGTGTGAGGACATTCAACACTACCAAGCTGTACACTTGAAAATGGTTAAGATGGTAAAGTTTGTATTATGTGGGGTCTTTTCAACCACAATTAAAACAAACTACCAGAAACAAATGAAATTTAACAAGTTAGAGGGAATTCCCTGGCAGTCCAGGGGTCAGGACTCTGCACTTGCACTGCAGGGGGCATGGGTTCACCCCCCCATCCCCCCAACTAAGATCCCAGAAGTAGTATGGTGCTGCCAAAAGGAAAACTTTTTAACAAGTTAGATATAAACAAGATCATCAGATAAATTAAAATAAAAAACAATTTAGTATAAAAGTAAAATTTTGCTGAAACTAAGTTGTCAATGTTGGATTTAACTATAGTTTATATATATACAATTATAAAAGTATAATAAGATTTTTTAAGCATTTTGTGTCTCAGCTGTTGACTTAAATATTTTATTTTGAGCAGAATGGAAGGTCCTTTGATTCCTTATCATTACTATATCATTACTATAATTTTTCCTTCTATCAGGTTACTCATTTGAAACCATCAGTTGATTATTTTACTTGGTTCAATCCATCTAAAAATGGTTTTCTCCAAAGTATAATATTGATAATTATTTTTTAATGCTCCTAAAAGAAGTTCTTCACAGAGAATATTTGCAAGCTGGTACGTCGTATAAATAAACACAACACACACAAACACATCTGCCAATAATCTGAATAGAGTGGCTATTTTGCCTAGCTTCTTTTGAGTTCAACCTATGATACCAAAAGACCTGTAATGACTCAATTTTCTCTCCACTTTCCTTTATTTGAACTTCTGTAAAGCTTCCTTTGTAGTGGTGCCATGATTCATTTGGCCTTCACTTTGCATAATGTATCATTTGTGTATGAAGTCAGTCAGCCTGGTTCTTTTCTCATTAGCCTGTGACAATTAAAGTAGCATGGTTATTTTTATGATGGAAAGTCAAAATTAATTTATTAAATAAAAGAAGACACAAATCTCATCACTGAAAAAGAGCAGTTTCAGCTTTTTAATTGGTAGGCTAACTCAATATAATTTTTATCAAACAGAAATCAAGATGGTTTTTGCCTTTTGATGCCAGAAATGCCAATTTAAAGACTACCGACACTTTAAAAGTTAAATATTGCCACATTAATAATCATGTGGTACCAACACAATTTTAAACACAAAGCACCAACACTAAATATGGTTGTAAAATGAACATCCCAGATATGCTTATATTTTATAATGTAAGTTTTTTAGACCATCATTGAAATAAAAATAAGTTATTACTGATGGATCATCAATAATACATACACAGACCTCTAGTTTGAGGAAACACTGTGATTATTATTATTATTATTATTTTTGAAACACTGTGATTACTCACAGATAATATAAACCTTTATAGAATGAGAGCACCAGAAAAGCAGGCAGGAGGAGAGGACCACTCCTACAGAGGCTCGGCTTAGCTCCACGTCAGAGCCACAACAGGCTGAGAGGGTGGCCCCGCATGGGATGGCCCAGGTGGGCTGAGGATTTAGGGTGGGAAGGATAGCTCAGCAGGAGGTTTCAGAGCTCACGTGGGGCGAGGGGCGTGGGCGTGTTCTTCAAAGGGATAGCCTAGTGCAAGATGTTGGCATCCAGGCAGGCTGAAGAGGATATTTCAGAGCCCAGGTTGGGTGAGATGAAGATCTGTAGGAAGGTGGTCCAGTGGTCCAGCACAGGTTGTTGTACAAAGCAGGTATGTTACCTAGTAAGATACAATAAGCAGAGAACATAGCATCACTTCTGTGTGGTGTTGCTGACAAAGACATAATTGTGAGAAAACATCACATACAAGTTGAGGGACACTCCATGAAACAACTGGCCTATATTCTTTCAAAGCGTCAAAGATATTAAAGTCAAGGAAAGATGGAGGAACGAACTGGTTCAGACTGAAGGAGACTAGGGAGAGGTAGGGAATAGTGGCATGGTGTGGTGCAGAACTGGAATCCTTTTGTTACAAAGTATATCACTGAGCCACGGAGAAACTTGATCATTGGAGTTTTAGGACTAGATCCCGATGTACCAATGCTAATTTCCTAATTTTGCTGTTTGCACTGGAATTGTAGGGGAATGCCTCTGAGTCAACATGCACTACAATATTCAAGAGTGATGGAGGAATCAGAGCAACAGCTTCCTTGCAAATGTTTTTAGGGGAAAAAAGGTCTTTGTACTTGCAACTTTTCTGAAAATGTGAGATTGTCTCAAAATTTAAAATTTAATTCGATTGAGGAATGTTGTTTCATTAAAAAAAAAAAGGGTTAAAAAAAATGCATGTATGAAGTCTGACCAGCTCTGTAGGAATATCTTGCAAAATGGTAAGAGGTTCCATATTGAGCACTTCGTATGTGTAAGATGTTGAACTAAGCAGTTTGTATATTTTATCTCATTTAAATTTCACACCCAAATAAAAATAAATAAATTTCACACCAACCTTACAGAGTTGATATTACTAGTATCATTTTACAGATGAGGAATCTGAGGCTCAGAGAGGCTAAGCAACTTGACCAGGCTCTTAAATAATCTACTGTACTGCTCAAAAAAACAAGATTGGAAAAAAATTTCCAAAAAGATTGGAGAATACTAACAGCATTCTCTGGGCAGCAGGACTACTAGTTTTTCCTTTTGTGGTTTTCAGTATTTTACAAAATATCTACAATGGCATGGTTGCTTTTGTAATTAATAAAAAAAAGCTGTCATTTACAAAATATTCATTTATTGTGAAGTGATGTCATAAAAATATGTTGGTTATTTGAAACTATACTGAACAACCCCAAACTACTAATAGTGGTATTATCTCTTAGTAGTGGTATTATTGGTGACATTCAGTTTTGATCTTTTGCTTTTCTGTATTCTACTAAGTTTCTATAATTAATTCTTTCATTCATTCAACAAATACTTACTGAGCATCTGCTATGATGCTTATTTTTATAAGAAGAAAAAATTTTGAAGAAAGAAATGGACTGCATAAGTCTAAAGTTGTAAATTTTATTCAAAAACCAAGAAGGAATAATATGTATGCTTAGAAAAAGACTAGGCACCAAGATGTTACTAGCAGTGTTACATACTAAGATGTTTCAGCAGTGAGTTAGTGGCAAGTTTATCTTTCCTTAATACTCTTCTATGCTTTCCTCGTTTTCAACTAAAAATTACTTACATGTTCTATTCACAGCTGTGCCTCCAGTGCTTAGAAGAGGAGGTGGCATATAGTAGGAGTTCAAGATTTTTTTTTTTAATGAATGAATACTTTTGATCACAAATACAAATATTTTTGATTATAAATTGCTGTTTTAAAAAACACTTTTACTTATTCATTCCATTATAGTTGGCAAACTTGGCATTCAACTTGTGCTCTTCTAAGCTGGAGAAGACCTAAGAGATTGTAGTAGGGGGCTCTAGTGGCCATTTAACGGGTGGTGGTGAGGAGAGCCACATGACGGGAAGACAGGGTGAACAGAAAGTGGGGAAACGCTATTCAGAAACCATGTGTTGTTTCTTGTATTTATTAAGATTCCTCTTCAACCTGTTTTTAGGAGAATTGGTGACATATCACTGTACCAGCGTCTATTGAGGATAGATCTTGTGTTGTATGGCTTAGTTTCTTGGTAGTGATATCTGAGGTTCACAGAGGAATGGAGGGCTGGGATGAGGTTGGGGTGACTCAGTCATGAGCCCCTGTTTTGCTTGTAATTAGGAAGCTTACAGCTCTGATTTTACAAAGTAATGTGGACCAAAACCTTAAGAGAGACTGGACACTGGGCCAGTGAGGGAGAGAAGCCCCTCCCTCAGTTGGCCTCTGAATCGAGCTGTCTGCCCGGCGTCCATAGCTGCAGTGGGCTGTTCAACTCTCAACTCAATTGCAGCGAGATGCTGTATGTTACATGATTTTGCCAAATTCAAAGATTCTCAAAAGTCATGTGAATAGTCCTTATGTGTATCCGGAGATTACCAGAAGAAACAAACCTTTCTTGTCAACCTCAAATCCTCTCTTTCTCTTCCAGCAATACACTGGCAAATTCTGTTGGTTCTACCTTCAAACTACATCCAGAACCTGAGCACTGGCCCCTCTCTAGCCTTATTTGGTTTATTGCAAGAGCTTCTCAACTCCTCCCTGGTTCAAGCCTCATAGCGGCCACAGGATCCTTTCAAAACCTCAGTCAGGTCACATCTTTACAGCACCCTACAATAGCCACAGCCCTTACAGCAAGGTGCTGGCTTGTGTCCACAACTTGTTCTTACTTCTCTGACCTACTTTTCTCCAGCTTGCCCCTTGCTCACTCCACTCTAACATCCAGACTTCCTTGCTGCTCCTCCAACACGCCAGGCACCCTGTGCCCTTGCTGTGTCTTCTGCAGGAAGCCACCCCCCCTCTCTCTCTCTCTCTCTCGGTCTTTCCTTAGATGTCACCACATCAGACAGACCGTTTCTGACCATCTCTATCAAGTAGAGACCACCTCCCCAGATACCTTCTCCTTTACTTTGCTTTTTCCCCCTCCTTGATCTTCCCCCATGATCACTGGGACAGTTCTGACCATGGAGCGTGTCTGATTTTCCTAAACACATCATGTGGTTGCTCTTCCTCACCTGTTGAAGTCGGGTGCATCCACGTAAGCTGCTCTCTCCTGCGCCGTGTGAGGGGAAGGGCCTTGTGTGGCTTTCAGGAGGAAGCCAGTGCAGGCGTTCACTGCTCTGTCTCCTCTCTCTCCCACAGAGATTGGCTGTGCTCCACGTGGGGCTTCTCCAGGCAGCCTGGGTCCCAGAGTGAAGGTGCAAGGAGCTGAACCCCAGCTGCCCTGCAATGAACACACCATGTTGTTCTTCTTCAGTTACTAAGTCGGGTCTGACTCTTTGTGACCTCATGGACTGTAGCACGCCAGGCTTCCTGTCCTTCACTATCTCCTAGAGTTTATTCAAACTCATGTCCATTCAGTCGGTGATGAATACACTGTGTAAGTGAGGGATATAAACTTTTTTTTTTTTAAGCCATCAAACTTGGCTTGTTTAAAACCACAAAACAACTAGCCTATCCTGACTGACACCCTCTGACATATTCCATATTTATTTGCTGTCTGTTCCTATCCCCCTCTAGAATGTAATCTTTTTGATGGTAGGGCTCTGTTCATTATTATATCTCCAGGGCCCGAAACAGTGCCTGGCATGTGGTAGGTATTCAATAAATATCTGTTGCCTGACTGAATGAGTGATGAATTGATCACCCCAACTGAAACAGGAAGATTTCACAATGGCAGGTGTTAACTATTCCTGGATGTGTCCACAAAAGTGTTTGTTTGACGTGATCTGAATGGGAACAAGATGGTTCCTGATTCAAGATTAGCAGTGTGGCTGCTTGCCTCACCAGACACAGTTTGAAAGCACAAATTGCCTGTGGGCACATAACACAGTGAGTCGTGGAGGCACATAAAGTAGTCAAAGTTACCACACAAATGGATATCTGGCATACTGCTGAGGGGACCGGCGACAACCATAAATAAAAAGCATTAGCAGCATTTGTGTCGATGCAGAGTGCTGATGTGGTTTCTTTTCCCTGTGTGGACATTAGCATTTGCAATGAACTGAGCTTCACAGGCTTGAGGTTTTATCTGCCGTTATCATAAATTGGTGTATGAGCCCCTCTCAGGACTTTTGCAAAAGCTGTGTGTGCTTTTGTGAGCTGCTTTCTTTTCAGGCTTCCTCCTGGTACGCCTGAATTTGGATGGGGATAATGCATTTCCTGTATCGTGTGGCACTGTACAAGGAAACCCATTGTATCCCCTCAGAGGAAGAGTACATCTGTAAGTAGTTTTTAAGAGTGTACTGAAGGATCTTGTTAGGGTGACTTATTCTCCCAGTTCCATTTGGTTGATGAAGTGGATCACGTGACAGATGTGCATAATGAACTGCTTCAGTTGCTGCCAGTGGGAAGCTCAACCTATAAAATGTGAAATCTCTTGGACTCATTGAGGGCAGAGCAAGCTGATCACAGAAGAGAGAACTCTGCCTGATTCCGAGTCGTCATCTCTTGCTGCCTCATACAGTGCACCAGTGTTCCCGGGCTTTGCTTTTCCTTTCTCCCAGAGGAACTGCCTTTCCAGTTTATTCTTAATTCAAACTGGAAAGGCAGCGGTTTCTGCATACAATTTCCCAAAAGAGCAAACATGATTAAGATGTTCAAGTAATCACCCATGAAATACACTTGCAAGGAGCCTTTAGGTTTTGTCATTAAACGAGGGAATGTATTTACATCATCCGGTAGGATTGTGGGTTGGTTGGTTTTTTTTTTTTTTTTGCCTCTTCCCTGTCTCTTTTCCTCTCACTCTTTCCTATATTTTCTTTCTCTGCTCCATTATTTTATTTTATTTTTCTCTTTATTTTCATTGACTGCAATCATAAGGGATGTAACTTGTCTCCCATTTCCACGTATTGTTCGGAACAGTGACATCCAAGCCAAAAAGACACAGGTGACCAATCTATTCTAGGAGTGGTCTAACTTGCAGCTCATTCTAGATGTTTCTGGTTACTAAGACAATGAATGGAGAAATAAAGAGCAATCATGCAAATGTTAGTCCTAGATACGAGCATTGGGGAAATGATGAAAAAGGCTATAAGTCAGTTCACTTCACTTGTACCACGGAGCATCCCCTTGCGCTGAGCACCAGGCTAAGCATTGTGCCGGGGGCTGAAGAGAGAGCCCATGGCCCTTGGACGCTGGTGAGTAAATGATGGTGTACTATGACATATCCAAACGCCACAGCAGCAGCAAAGGTAATAGGGCTTTAAGTGGTGCCAGAGGGGAGGTCTCAATGAGAATTAAAACGGCCAGGCAAGGATCTGAGCTGAAAGCAGGAGCCGAGATAGACCTGGAAGGACAAACAGATTTGGAATGCTGTCAAAAGAGCAAAATAGCATATTAAAGAGGTCAAGAGTGCATGGCATCTTGATCAAATTCAGCTGTTTGGGGTACCTCACTTTTAGCCCCAATTTCCCAAGTAGCCATATGTCAATTACACAGGTTACCTAAAGAACATTTATATATATATCTGGAGGAGGAAATAGCAACCCACTCCAGTATTCATGACTGAAAAATCCCATGGACAGAAAAGTTTGGTGGGCTACAGTCTAATAGGGTCTCAAAGAGTCGGACATGACTGAGCATGACACCAATATTCATACACACACACACACACACACATATTACTCAGATATTAGTATAAGGCAATTAACCACAACATAATGTATGGAGATGTCACATCTGTAAGCTTTAAATCAATTGTGAAGATGGCAGAATTGTTTTTCTTGCCTACCAGTGAGTGTCATGGATTAAAAGTGCTGCCGAATTTAAGGAAATTCTATTTAAGAAAATATAATCTGGGAAATGAGAGCCTGGTCTTCTAGCAGCAAAACAGCATACGAGGCTTATTTCGGAGACATTTTTAAAATGTCAGATTTGGCTTTAGCGAGTTTAGTGAATTGTCCTTTGTAGACAGAAAGCTGGCATTGGGGCACTCCAGAAAGCCCCCTGGCACCTCGGCTACCTCCTTCTGATTCTGATGCTGGCAGGAGGCCTCTGGTGAAAATCCTGGCTCTTTTCTGCAGAGGAATGGCAAGACTTGGCAGCCAGTGTTGAGCTCACACAGAGACGGGGCGTGACTGGTTCCCAGGGTCCGCTGGGGTGGGGGTGAGAAGCCGCTCAAGGCCAAGAGTTTGACTTCCTGACCCTTCCAGAAAAGTGTGGTGCTCTTTAATTTATTCCTAATTGGAATTCCTTGCTGTGGTTTTCCTTTTAGAAAAGGAAAGACATGCCCTTTTAACCATTTCCTCTCAAAAGACCTTTCTTAGCTTTGATTTAGTTGTTTCAATATTAAAATAGCTACCACATAAAAGTGATTTCTAAAAATGTCTCAAATTCCTGCTTCACATAACTCAATAATACAGTTTCTGAGGTCTTGAGCCTGGGACTACTAGTCCTTTTGGTTGTGAAGCACAGGAAAGAAAAAAATAAGAGTTGATAAAAAATAGAAAGAAACCCTTCTGGACCATCTCCCCTTATTCAGAATGCTGTCACTATTTGAATGTGGCGTACACACACATGGTTTGCCTGCATGTGTGTGTGAACCCACACCCACACTCTCACACATCACCTATTTACTAAAACATATTATGATAGAAAACTTCATTATTTTTGTTTAAGTCCTGGTTGCAGTCCTTCAGTGAGGGCACTTGAGACGCATATGTTTGCAGGTAGCTGAAGGTACAGCTATGTGGTCTGCCTGAAACCTAAAATTAGATTGAGTTGACGATTCTATCGGGAGAGATTTCTCCCTCAGTGTTTTCATTCCCAAACTCTGCTGCCTTCCACTTCCTGCAGAGACTGAAGTCATTGTAGATACTACTCAAAAGTAATAACTCCTGAGAGACTCTCTCTGCAAAATCAGCATGCAAAAGACAGTTGGCCCCAGAAGCCAAGGACTCTTGGCTACAGCAGTAGAATGTTAAAGCCACACAATAGTAAAAGGAACCTGGGTTTCCTATATTTTAAACTGTCTCTTGTTTCATGCTTAGCTTTAGTGAAATCCAGAGAAATGAAATAAAAAGTCAGCTTTTAGAGTCTTTATAACAGCAAGGCATTTCTGTTGTTATTCCTTAAAAGATGATGAAAATTAGATGCTGAAATGTAGAGGCCTTCTGAAAATGACTTGCAATAATTATATTTGTTAAACTGGGCAGCCCTGATATTGTATGCCATTTAAATCAACTTTCATTATTCTTTAATGATTCTTTGCAATTCTTTTTTCCAGAACTTTGCAAGCTTGACTTGTGTTCACCTTGCTATGGAATGCTTTAAAGGGCATTTCATTTAATAGCAGAGGAAAATGATAAATTATAGATGCCAAATCATAAAGCAGTGATTTAGGTAGCACTAGGGTAAGATTGTAAGCAATAAAATAAAAATTTTCCCAATCAACCTCTACATTAGAAGCAAAAAAAGGAGTTGCTGTCTGCATAATTAAAGCAAGACATGTCAAGATGCTTGTTAGTATGCTAATTTGAAGGCTTTTTTTTAAAAAACAAAACAAAACTTGGAATCATAAAGGAGAATATTGGGAATATTTATCAGTTTGAGCAAAGAAGTTCTCTATGAATGAGTATGATTTCATTGTTAGTGTGCTCTGGAAATACAGATATAAAGAAATGGAAAAAAAAAAACACAAAACCTCAGTCTCAATCTCTTAAGCATTTGGGGAGAAAATGAGGTGGTTAAGAGTTGACCAGGGTCTAAATTTTCACCACATCCCTGCTAGCTGTGTGATCTTATGCAAGTCAGTTAACCTCTCTGGCCCTGTTTCCTCAGCTGTAAAATGAGAAGATAGTGGGTCCTACTTCATAAGATAATTGTGAGGATTACAAATAAAGCATTTAAAACAAAATCTAATACAGACTTCCCTCGTGGTCCAGTGGCTAAGACTCCATGCTCCCAATGCAGGGGGCGTGGGTTGGCTCTCTGGTCAGGGTACTAGATCCCACATGCCACAACTAAGAGCTTGCATGCCGAAAAATGAAGATTGGAGACCCCTATATGTCGCATCTAAGACCTGCCACAGTCAAATAAATAAATATTAAAAAAATAAAATAGAATCTCACAGAGCAAGCACCCAGTAAGAATGGTTGTATAACATCTTTCCTCTGCGCAAACTCTCTGGTGCTTTTCCTCTTATTCCCAGTGAAAGCTGAAGTCCTTACCATGTCTACAGGCCCCATTCAACTGGCCTGTTTCTCTTTGACCTGATCTCTTTCCCTCCCTGCTCAGCTTGCACTCTGGCCTCCAGGCATTCCTCAGGTACACCAGGTAGCCTCCCATCTCAGGACCCTTGTCTTGAAAGCTGTTTGCAGCCATCCTCAGGTTGGTTTGTCTGATCCATCAGGTCTTTACTTTAAGCACCTGATCAATGAGACTTTCCCTGGACACCGTCTAACATTCCTCTTGATATTTTATAGTTCCCCTTTCTGCCTTATTTTTCCCCTCAGCACTAACTACTTCCTAGTATACTATATATCTTACTAATTTATCTCATTTGCTCTCTACATCCCCCACCAAAATAGAAACTGAAGGAAGGCAGGAATTTTTATTTTAGCCATCATTGTATCCTCAGTACCTAGAATGGTGTTTGTCACAATCGTAGCTGTCAATAAATATTCGAAGGCTGAATGAATGGATGATTTTCCTTAATTTCTAAAAAATAATAATTAAATCCTACACATATACTTCCTCTTTTCCAAACTTAATGAAATGTAGCTTTTTTGGTCACATACATTTTTTCTTGGTTGCCATGATGACTGTCAACCATCTTTAAACCACTCTTTAAACACCAGATAACTATATAATGAAAGTGAAGGGGCAAGGCTTGGCCACCCAGGCCATGACATAGCCTTTTTATTCTAAGCCTTCATCAGTTCACCTGGAGGAAGAAATAATGATACTCGCTGGACCTCCCTAGTTCCTCCTTCAGCCACAGATAAATCAGGGACAACTTCTGATTTTCCCTTTCCATTCTGGTCTTTTAATAACTACAAAGAGGTCAGGAAGCTTCTTAAGTAAATATGGCATGTGTTTTCCTGAATATAAGCAAGGGCAGAGTATATAGAATACCATGAGTTATCACTGTGGAATGATCTCTCTCTCTGCCCCCCAGGGGTTATTGAAAGGGCATTTCTAAACATGGACATGTTGCAGGAGGTCAGATAGAAGGTTCCTGAACATCTCCTGTGTTCCCAGCCCGGCTTTACATACTGCATCACCTCACAACCATACTGTGTGGTCTATGTTATCATCCCCAACCTCTATATGGGGAGCTGGGGTGAGACCAAGGCTCAGAGAGGATAAGTGACCTGTCCAAGACCACCTGACTAATAAGTGGAACAGCAAAATATAGACTACTTACCAGCAACATGACAACCACTTTTGTTTTTTCTCTTTGTCCTGATAAGCAGTTTCCTAAGAATTAAACCAATTTGTATGTCTTAAACCAACAACTGCTGAATTAGTGTTCCTGATGGATTTCTGCCACAGCTTAAAGCTGGTGGCTTAAAACAAGCTTCTCCTTGTTTCAGCAGTGAGATGAGGACCTGCACCCTAGGGATAGGCTGACATGAGAGGAAGAGCAGCGTCTGAGCCCCATCTATACTATCCATGAGAGGAAGAGTTACTAACCCCAATACATAACACAGTCTCCAGCCTTAAGTATGTTACCCAAGGTCAGCTGCTAGGAAGTGGTGGGGCTGTGTGCTTAATTCAGACCTGTATAGGTCCAGAGTTTGGTTCAATCATTACCATCACCTTGACCACTACTCTCCCACTTCTACCCCAACTCTATCTTACAACTTTCACAGCATACCCCAAGTCAGAAAAAAGAAAATTTCTTCAGTTAGCATATCTAATAAAAGATGTTGCTTTCAAGAAATGCAAATCAAAACCACAATGAGGTACCATTATACGCCAGTCAGGATAGCTGCTATCCAAAAGTCTACAAGCAATAAATGCTGGAGAGGGTGTGGAGAAAAGGGAACCCTCTTACACTGTTGGTGGGAATGCAAACTAGTACAGCCACTATGGAGAACAGTGTGGAGATTCCTTAAAAANGTATGACAAAAACTACTGTAATGATGTAAAGTAATTAGCCTCCAACTAATAAAAATAAATGGAAAAAAAAAAAGAAATATTCTCATGACTTCTTAAATAATCTGAAGTTTTCTTTTTCTCCTCTTTCTTCCTCCTCTTCTTTTTCCAAAGATTTGGCCTCTGGAAAATATTTCATGTATAATGGCAAAGCATCTAACTTTCCTATGAGCTTATAAAATGAAGTGGTTCTTTTAGAGTAAACAAAAAATCTTTTCATCTAAAATTTTAATTGCAACCAATTCAGTGCCCTGGGAATTAGTTCCAGTGTTTGGCTCAAGTTTCTGGCACTGAGCTCTGGCCTCAAGCCTGCACTGGGTCACCTTACAGCTGCACCTCAGGGCTACTCGCCAAGAAGCTGGTCTCATGGCATTACTACCCTATGGCATGACAACAGAACACTGAGCTTTGGTACCGAACCTGGCTGAAAGCAACTCATATGACTGCAACTCTGTTTAGCAAACAACATACAGGAGTCACCTGGTGAAGCATGGTAACATCCTCCCACATTCCTGGGAGAAAAGCGACATTAATTTTCATTAGTTTGTCTAGAAGCAGAGAAGGGTATTTCTCAAAGTTTAATTTACAGCCATAAACTTGTACATTGATATAACCATAACATAAAGGAGGAAACATCTGTCACTTCCATTTGTAGCTGGGTTTGTAGCAGCTCTTTCAAAAAGGAAGACTAGAGACCAGCCATCCTGGTTTGGGGGCTGTATGATTAGGCCACTCAAGATGGCTGTTCTCTAACTCTGCACATCCCTCGCTTGACCAGTGCCTGTTTCTCTCACATGACCGGATAATATGCTTCATTATAGCACTTAAATAGTCCCTGGTAACTGGTGAGCCCACTTGATGTCAACTCCCCCTATAAATGGTAGCCTTCTTCTCTCTTGCCGAGTAGTGAAGACTGCTGTAATGTCCTACCCGCCATCTGCCACATACGGTGGGGTGTCACTCCAGGTTCCTTGGTGCAAGTTCTGCCTATCCAATAAACCACTGATGTCCGTGTTGCTGTCCCTGGGCCCTTTCTTCAGTCCTGGAGGCTGGACAACTACAAGACTTGAAGGGCTGGGGGACGCAGTCCAGCAGGGACCAAGATCAGTGTCTGAAACCAGGTTTTCCTCTAACCAGGTGGGTATGAACAAATAACTTCATCTCAGTGAGCCTCAGTTTCCTCACAATACAAAGTTTGGGCATGTTAAATGAAATTTAAGTCTCAGTCCTAAAATTATATTCCATGTATAAACATTCATATTTTCAAATTTGATGTAATGACTTGAAACTTACCCTCCTACTAGAGAAAATCTGAATTTCTAAAAGCCTGAGGTTGACTTTAAAGATGGAACTTAAAGACAAGGAACTGTAGGGACTTCTCTGGTGGTCCAGTGGTTGGGACTCCACACTCCTGGTGCAGGGGACCCAGGTTCAATCCCCTGTCAGGGAGCTGGATCCCACATGCTGCAACTAAGAGCTCGCATGCCACAGCCAAATAAATATTTTTTAAAAAACAAAACAAAACAACCCCCAAGGGATTGCAGAGGTTTAGCTGTAAGAAGCTAGATAGATAATATACCCCAACTTCCTCATTTTGTCTTCTCCCTTTTAGTCTTTTCTTTCTTCTACATATTTTCTAGATTCTGGTAGGCACCAGGCACTGAGCTAACTGCTGGAGACCAGGCCTGAATCCTTAGCTTTAAAGAACTTCCAGGACAGTGGGCACAGACAAGTGAATGCAGTATTAAAACACAAGGAAGTGAGGTTACAAAAGAGCAGAGGGTACCGTGGAAGGCAGAGGCCAGTCTCAGGCTGGGGGAGGGGTGGGAGGCAGGGAAGTGTCCCTGGGGAAACGACATCTAAACCGAGGCCAGGAGTCGGGGTGGGGGGGGGCACATTTCTAGGCAGAAATGCAACATGTGCCTCTGAATAGCACAGAGAACTCTGGGAAGGTGGGCAGTAATTCTTCAGGGAACGCAACCGGCTGGTGGCAGAGCTGGTGGTACAAATAGAGCTCAAGGTCCTAACTCCAAAGTTGCAGGCTTGGTTGAATGTCAATGATGTGAAGTAATAGCGTTGGGTTTTTTCTTTTTTGGCACAGGTGAAATACTACAGGGCCTTGCTGCCATCATCTTAATTAAGACTCAGGCTCTTTCCTGGACTCTCTCCATTTAGGATCTTCCCTCTCTGGCTCGAGGGTCTTCAGCAGTAACTCATCAACACAAAATAACCACATCACAGGCCAGTCACCTGACAAGTCACCACCACTAATCTACTCCGGGGATGGAGATCTTTCAGCTGCTGAGCGGTGTGGATGGACAAAGATCCTGGCTGATGGGTTTAGGAGACCATCCAGGTCAGTCACGGGATAGTTATGAGTCATGATGGTTGTTTTCAAATATTTGAAGGATTGAAGGAGGGATTAGATGTGTTTTTTGTGGATTGAAGGGGAAGGAGGAGAACCAAATGAATGTATATAGGTACAGATAACTTTATTGTTCCTAAATAAGAACTGGAGGCTTCCCCATCCTCACCACCACCCCCTTTTTTCACTGTTGCTTTCTATGTATAGCTCTCTAGACCTTTCACTTTTTTAAAAAAGCGTTCTGTGTAAATAATAAGAAAAAAAAATTAAGAACTGGAGGTTGGTTGCACTGGAAGTAATGAGTATCTTTACACCAGAAGTATTTAAAACCAGGGCAGATGACCACTTGACCCAGGATGTTACCAAGGGGATTCATGCCTCTAAGATTTGATTTATAGAAGCTTAATCAAATCCTGCTGGCTCCTTGTGTGATTCTGCATTTTCACAGTTGGTCCAGGCCAACCGAGGTCTAACTGTTCTAGTGTCTTATCTGTTCTTCACAAATTATTTACTCTCAGCTCTTCCCTGGAGGCTCAGACAGTGAGGAACCCGCCTGCAATGCAGGAGACCTGGTTTGATCCCTGGGCTGGGAAGACCCCCCTGGAGGAGGAAATGGCTACCTACTCCAGTATTCTGGCCTAGAGAATTCTGTGGACAGAGGAGCCTGGCAGGCTACAGTTTGTGGGGTCGCAAAGAATTGGACACGACTGAGTGACTTTCACTTCACTGGTTAGCTGGCATTTTCAAGCACATTATTTTTATATCCCTAAACAAAGATACACTGAGTGTTTTTTGTGATACTTATAAAGGCAGCTTAGTGTCAGGTTTTCTTTTTCACATGAAGAATTCATATATTTACCTAGAGGTAGTGAAACTGCTATACTTACGTGACAAAATGGGTGGCTTGGCACATGCATAGGTGCACACATATCCACATATGTAGTCTGGTGCGTGTGCACGGCCTTATTTTAGGTGCGCTTTGTCCATGTGCTTACATGCTGTTCACGCTAGGCTCCATCCTCTTACACACCAAAAGAAACTTTACAAATTCTTTGTTTTCTTTCACTTTTGTTTTTTATTGTGGAATCTGTGTTGCTCTTCCCTGAGTCTAAAGATATGGAGGGAGAGAAGGGAAGTGCAGTTGGTGAAAACTGAAGATATTACTGGCAGTTCTGACAGGTACAATTCCGATTTCATTAACCCTCAAATACTCAGAGAGCGGTGGTAAAAGATGATTTATATTGTTTTTTTCAGGCAGGCTTCTCTGTTGCCAACCTAGTAAACTAAAACATATAATTCGTTTTTACCTGCTTTCTATGCTTGGTGCATGTAACGTGTTATAAATCAGAGATATTAAATAATATTTTGTTTTAAATTAGTATTCGGATGATATATTATGTGGGATCTAAAATAGCTATGTTTCAAAACCACATAATAGCTTTTTCAAAAGGAGAAAAGGAATGCAAGCCCATTTTCTAAGCATTCAAAATCAAATAACATTCAAAGAACCAGTTGAGAAGAGTCAGATCATCCCTAAAAGCCATGGAACATAAATTACATTGACATATTATGTGAAGACACTTGTCCTGCACTAGCTCACATAAGCGACCTTAGAGAGAAGCTTATGCTCAACTAACGACACATTAGGAAGGAAAAAAAAAAAAGAAAAAAAAGTGTTCAGTCGTTGCTGGTTGTCATGGCTTGATGCTGGGAGGGGCTCCGCCAGTCCCCGGGCACTGTGTGTGGAGCTGGCGGGGAAAGGCCTCTGGGAGAGCTGATGACTGTGCACAGGATGAATAAATCATCTCTCTCAAGGTAATCCTGGGGAGGGCTTCCCCTCACAGAGTCATCAGCATCTGGCCTCTGCATGCAAATGTAAAATTAGAGCTTTATGTTGTACCAAAATGGCAGCCCACGGAAAAGATCACCGCCAAACATGACAAGCAGAACTCGCGGGGGCGGCAGCAGGCAGCTCTGTATTGGCTGACAGACTTTTCCCCCCTTCCGGTGGTTTTTCATAAGATAAAAATGTTTTCACTAGTGATTTTTTTCTTTTTTTAACTATAAAGAATGGTAAAAGCGAGGGGGACACCAGGCAAAAATCCCCTAAAAGCACTGCAGGGACAGGGCCCGGACCTGAGGAGGGCAGGTGATTTTAAAAAGAAAGAAAAGGACAACTGAGAGCAGAGGATGGGACAAAGTCTGAAAAGCCAGAGAGCAGATGACAGAAGATTCTACAGCTGCTCACTGCAGCTGCTCTCATAGTCTCCTCTGCTTCAGAGTAGAGACAAATGTGTTTAGAAATGAAAGGCAAGAGGCAATGGGAAAAATGTGCCTTCCATTTCTAACCAACTGGAATATAATCTTCACAAAGCTCATCCTGTTCTCATGAGGAGGTTATTTTTAGGACCCAAATATAGGCAAAATACTAA